TGTACATTGTGAGCTCAGCCTTGTGCCAGGGTTGGGGATCCAAGTCATCTTGTGCAGTGCAAGGGTCTTGGTCTGCTCCCAGACCCTCCATGACTCAGCTGTGCACCACATGCCCAGCTCATGCTGAGGGAGGGGACCTGAGCCACATCGTACAGCACCGGGGTCTCGGTCCACTCTTGGACCCTCCATGCGCTATGCACAGCTCACCCTGCTTCATACAGGGGGTTAGAGACCCAGGCCACCTTGTGTAGCTCCCAGGGTCCTGGGCCCTCCTGGACACTCCATGCAGTGCCTGTGCACCAATGCTGCGCCCCCTCATGGTGGAGCTGGGGAATGCAGTCCCTTGTCACTCCTGTCCAACAATCTGTCTTCAGGCTCTTCTGGGGTTACTGCTCTGCCCCCTGCTGGCCACCTCTGCCAACTCTTCTCCCACCCTCTTCTTTGTCCCTTGACACAGATGCCCATGTGCCAGGCATACTGCCTTTTTATTCCCTTCAGACGCTCTGCCCCTGGATTGGAAACAGACCAATCAGAAAGAGGGGGATGTTGGTCCCCTCTCAGATCCGGCTCTTCACTTTTCCCCGGAGTAGGGGTGGAGCAAGCTTCTCCCCTGCCTTCACCTGATTGCTGGGGGAAAGGGAAATGCTCCACCAATCATTTCAAACTTTTCCAAAGACGGTGCACCAGGCTGCCACTGGAAAGCCTGCCACACACAAAATCCCCATGGCAGTTTTCCTTCTTGGCAATACTGCTCCTTTGTGAAATACTACCAAAGAAATTATCCTGCACATCAGGTTCTTCAGTTTTTCTAGGAACAGAAGGGCATTATTTGATCCATAATGAACTATGCAGATTTAGATTTCTTAAATTCCATACGTATAGCTCCCATATGAGTCCTCTGCTGTGGGTTTTGAGGAGGACTACATGTGAACTTCCTGAGAAAGTAAGGCAATTGGCTAGTTACCTCAGGTGCCTGTACACAAATGCACAGAGCTTGGGAAACAAGCAGGAAGAACTGGAAGTCCCAGAACTATGACATGATTGGGATAACAGAGACTTGGTGGGATAGCAAGCATGACTGGAGCACTGTCATGGATAGGCATAAACTGTTCAGGAAAGACAGATAGGGGAGAGTAGGAGGAGCTGTATGATTGCTCAGAGCTCCAGTACAATCATGCACTATAATACAGACTCATTGAAGATTTACCTCTACTTCGTGCTTCTGCAACTCTATTCTACTTCAACTTAACTTCACTTCAGTGATTCCTGAACTTCAGGGGTTGGGATTTGATTGTTATTTGACAGTGGCAGGAATCCCAGGTTAATCCACAGGAGCATCCTATTGACTACAAGGAGCTAATCAAATCCATGCATAAATTTACTCAGTTGAGAGGCACACACTAGTATCCAATGTGATGGCTCAGATGAGTAGTTATTCAAATGTTCAAGTGTTTGCAGAAGCAAGGCCTTTGTATTGTTTGCATACAATTGTAGGCTCTTTAACAGAAGTAACATTATACTCTATTTTTTAAAGTGCTGTACATGTTTTAAAATAATATGATGTTTGAATCTTAAAATAATATTATTCATTCTTTATTCAGTTTTTAAACTTACTTAAGCAATGTAGTTATTTTTTTGGTATTGGGGCAAATGGCAAAATTAGCAGTTTAGATTTACCTGTAGATTCTCTGTACAGTTTCTCTTAATGATTTCACACCTAAACTTATTGTTGCACTTTGTCCAAAACTAAAGACTCCATTTTATTTTCTGGTCCATTCCAGTATGCTCATGTAACTACATGAAAGGAGATGAGAGGAGCATGTGCTGTATGAACTGCAGCTCCAGATAGACTTGACTAGTATATTAGCTATTCCAGAATCCCTGTGCAACATTCTTTATGGCAGACATCAGTATTTTTTCTTGTTCCCTCTCTGGGTGCTTTAAAATAAGAACAGTAACAAAATGTACTTACCTCTTCTGCATGAATACCACAAAGCTTGTTTCCTGACAGAAGTTTGTTTTTCAGGCTTTTGTTCTGAGAAAAGAACACAGTTTTAGAAAAGAACACAGAGGAATGCTAAAATATTAAGGAATCTTTTAAATATTTTAACATGCTAGTTTAACTTCATACATAGATACAGTCCTGAGAATTTTATTGAGGACACAAACAGCCATGAAGCAAGATAAATGTATGATGGTATAGTATCATTTTCTGTTCTATTTCTGAAGGCCTATCAATTTTGGATTAATACATTTGTTCACAGAAAGAGGACTGTCCACAATAATATTTCAAAACACTGTACAACTTAAGTTGAAGGACATTTATTTAGACTGTACATGATAAGAAAAAGGAAAAAGGAGATATTCCCAAGAAGAACCTTGTAACTTAGCATAACTCAGCAATGAATGTAAAGGAGCTATGCCATCAGTTAAGGATTTTGTCCAGCATCTAACCATTTCAATCCTAAAGACTGGATTCAAAGATTCTTTTAGTCCTTAAAATTACTTAATGTAAATTGGCAGAAAATATGAAATATTAGAGATTGGATTCCTTTGTTTCACATCCCACATTCAACATGCTTTTCTATCAAAGCAGTTTTAAATTTCACTTTTAATTTAGAGCACTGAAAACCAATTATATCCTTGATAAAACAAAGTTTCATTGATGTGATAATACTGCCCTCTCTTTTTTTCTATATTCTTTCTTTTTATGTATATTGTCCTTGAGTTAATAGTCAATTTATTGACTTGTAGAATTTATCCACTGCATATATAACTACCTAGTCTTGGAAATTATTTATCATCATTATTATTGTTGTTATTCTTATTTTTTCTAATTGCTTTTCCCCTCTTGCATTACAAATACCAGGAACTATTTCCTAAGCCAATGGTGCAAATCATCATAATTTTGCTGACTTAAAATCACAGAATACTGATCTGTACCAGCTGAGGATATGATCAAATCATTTAAACTCATTTTGATTCAACACACATAACACACAGTTTCTCAAACCCTTTACAATAAAAGGTGTACCAAGTTCTTTTTCACTGTTTTGATTTCAATTTCCTGTCTTTCTTATTATATTGTAGTCTATTGTAATCCATATTTTATTATGTGTGGGACATTAAGGAGCTGCATGAAAAAGCTAGAATAGTTACTAATGGATCTTGTGATTCAAAAAAAAAATTAAATACGAAGCTACTCTAATATTAAACTTACATAATTTATACTAAGGAAATGAATTTTTCATGTACTGACATCTTTAGAAAATTGACAAACTGTTCAGATGTTGTCAATCTGAAGGAGTTCAGTTTCAAACAGTACATAGAAGGGAAAAGGAAGAGGGCAGAAATTGCTTGGCAAATATTACAACCTTCTGAATATTCACAGAGTCACAGAACAGTTGGTTCTTTCCAAACCTCTCTTGCCTGGTTTATCACCCAGAGGCATCACAGGGCAACCCCAAGTCCTGGGTAGTGGCTGTGCATGGGGTCACATCAGCTGCCTCACTGTTTGTGGCACTGGTTTAGCCAGCCATGAGCTGCGGTAGCAGTGGGTTTTGTATGCCCCAGCCCCAGAGGTAGCTCCCAGAGGCACTGCCCTAGTCTTCCCCCTGAGTTATGCTATTGTTCTCACCTCAGTGTCCTTTAGATGTCTACATCTAAAGCATCCTTTAGATCAGGGGTAGACAAAATACAGCCTAGGGGCTGGATCTGGCCTGCCAGACCATTCTATCTGGCCCATGGGCCCCTAAAAAATTGAGAAAATTAATATTCATCTGCTTCTGGCTCCCTGTCAAAGATGTGTGTGTGCACGCGAGCGTGTGCAGGAAGGGACCGAGAGAGAGAGAGAGAGTGTGTGATCGTGGGGTCCGTCTCACATGCACACCCCACTATACACGTACACCCACCCTCTTTTCACACTGCCATACACAAAGACCCCCACACCCACACCCCTCACACATCCCAGC